TTTTTTTTTTTTTTTTTATCTTTCATTTTAATGGGTCCCTTTCAGATTTAAGGATTTGTCAGAAATTGGAGAAGGGCAAATAGGCCTTTTTACATTTAAGGATTTGTCAGAAATTGGGGTATTAATGTCTTCTTGGCAAAAAGAGCCTTAACAAATGACGATGATGAGCATTGGGCGGAAGAGTTGCCTAGTAATATTATGCAATGTGTAGCTGAGGATCTGAGAAAACTCTGGTTATCTGTATGATGTTATTCCTCAAGTGAAATAAGATATGAACATATTTCAAATAAAAAAAAAAGTATTAATTGAGTCTCCGCTCTTAAAGCACACAGAAATTCCAGTGACTAGACAGGTGCTTCAATTGTCTACGTACATCCATCGATAACGATGACCAGTGTTCTGGTCCCAATTGACTGGCACTCTTTTTTTTTTTTGGTAGAAATTGTCGAAGTGAAGTTGCGAATTCCATGACTCAGGGCCGGATTACCATTGACTTGGCGTCAACCATTCCCATCATTGTCGCCACAATTAAGGTTACATGAATATTATGATTTTTTTAAATAAATAATTAAATATAAAAATAATGCGTATGAATTATTTTTATTTTTATTTGTTGTTAAACACAACAAAATATGAAAAAATAGAGATAATTTAAATATTATTACAATAAATAAAATTTTAATAAATATTATGAGTTTAATACACTTAAATCAAAACATTCAAAACTATACTTACATACTAATGAATTATTGATTTGTAAAATAATTAAAATTTTAATCTTTAATAATATTTTTTTTTTTTAGGATCACTCCAGTCCCTAATATTTTAGTGCGTGATCATACCCACGTCTACGTCCGTGAACCGTGATCATAACTACCTCCATTGCTCTATCTTTACTAATGCCAGTAGTTGAATAAAGCCTCAGTGGCTCACCAAAAAAACAAAAAAGAGGAATAAAGCACCTGGCTTTCCCTTTTGGATCAATTGGAGTAACAGAGGAACAAATTGCTTTGCTTTGTTTTGGAGAAAAGGGGATGTTAATTTTGTAATTTTCTTTATTTAAATTTACGAACTTTGTTGATTCTTATTAAAGTGGTAAATTTTTATTTTTTTATTAATTTAAGGATATATTAGTTTTTTATTTTTATTTAAAAATTAAATAAATAATAATACTAAT